CTACACTCAGCCTCTAGTATTTCCTCAAAGTTACCAATTGAAGTGTTTCTGCCAACAGCTTTGCTCCGGGTAAGTAGATCCCAACTGTGACCCCCTGGATTTGCCTGTGTCTCTTGATTTTGGAGTTGTAGTTTGCCCTTTGCCCTCAGTTCTCTGATAGGTCCAAGAAAAGTAACTCATATTCAGTTTTTTAGTTTTTTCTTATTTTAAGAATGGTGGTGGTGACTTCCAAGTGTTTCACATGTTGGAGCTGAATTTATAGCTGTTTTCCATATAGAACAGACTTACTCATTCTTGTTTTATGAAGATATATATGTGAGTTTTGCCATTTAGAATAACATCTAAAATAAACCTGCAATAAAAATACAATTATTGCCTATATTTGGGAATCAGATTTAGTTTTATTAATTAATACATATGGGGCGCCTGGGTGGCGCAGTCGGTTAAGCGTCCGACTTCAGCCAGGTCACGATCTCGCGGTCCGTGAGTTCGAGCCCCGCGTCGGGCTCTGGGCTGATGGCTCAGAGCCTGGAGCCTGTTTCTGATTCTGTGTCTCCCTCTCTCTCTGCCCCTCCCCCGTTCATGCTCTGTCTCTCTCTGTCCCAAAAAAATAAACATTAAAAAAAAAAATTAATACATAAATATTTATGGAATCAATAGGTTACCTCTCCCAGGGGATTTGAGAGTATATCACAGAGGTCTGAGTTAACAATATACATGTCTTATGTAGCTTTTTTAGTTCTACTAGATGTCAGATGAACTTGAATACTTTATATATTGTCAGAGTGTTTCTAAAGTCATTAATTTATGTTGGAAATTACTTCTCAAGAAAGGAAAAAAAGACAATTTTGACTTAAAATATGTCTTAGAGTAAATGAGTATTTCCAATGTACGATTGAGATAAGAGGCAATAAAATGTAAGACTCAGAACAATTTTTATTTCATTCTCGTAATAAATACTTCCCTTGCACATTTTAAAAGCAGAGCAGTGAAACAGAGACAAATACCACATGATATCACTTACATGTGGAATGTAAAAACAAAAACAAAAACCTGAACCCATAGATACAGAGAACAGATTGGTGGTTGCCGGGGGTGGGAAGTGGTGGTGTATAGGTGAAATGGGGAAGGGATTCAAAAGGTAAAAACCTACAGTTACAAAATAAATAAGTCCTGAAGATGTAATGTGCAGCATGGTGACTAGTTAATAATACTTTTTTGTATATTTGAAAGTTGCTGAGAGCAAGCAGATCTTAAAAGTTCTCATCACAAGAAGAAAATTATTTGTAAGTTTGTGGTAATAGATGTTAATTAGGTACATTGTGACCATTTCACAATATGCTGTACATAGTCAAATCATTGTGGTGTATGCCTGAAACTAATATGTCAATTTCATCTAAAATAAATAGAACCAAATATTGTCATATATATATATTTTTTAATTTGCTACAGTTTTAATTCTTCTTAGTAGCTTACTAGGCCTAGGGTTTTGTTATCTTTGTCTTTTGTGTTAACGTTTTGTTGTTGTTTTATAGCTTACTAGTAGGTTTATTTTTATTTTTTTACATAGATACAGCTTATTTTATTTTTTGGTTGTGGGAACTTTTTTAAATGTTTGTTTATTTTTGAGAGAGAGCGTGCATGAGTGCTCTCAAAAGGGGAAGGGGCAGAGAAAGAGAGAGGGACAGAGGATCTGAAGCTGGTTCTATGCTGACAGCAGGGAGCCCGATGTGGGGGTCAGACTCATGAGCCGTGAGATCACAACCTGAGCTGAAGTTGGACACTTAACCGACTGAGCCACCTAGGCACCCCGGTTGTGGAAACTTTTAAAATCTATTTTCTGAAGGGTGCTTGGGTGGCTCAGTTGGTTAAGTGTCTGACTTTGGCTCAGGTCATGATCTCATGGTTCATGGGTTCAAGCCCCACGTCGGACTCTGTGCAGACAGCTCAGAGCCTGGAGCCTGCTTTGGATTCTGTGTCTCCTTCTTTCTCTTTCTGCTCCACTTCCATTCATGCTCGGGAACAGAATAGAAAATTCAGAAACGAACCCACATTTATTTGTAGGTTGATATGAAGTGATATTTGGCACATTTTCTTGCTAAAAACCGTAAGTGGTATAAGGTTGGAGTTCTAACATATTTATTCATAAGGCTCTGATTATTATTGAAATTTTCAAAGAAATTTCTCTATTTTGTTTGTAGTAGAAGGGAACTAATCTTGAGATAATGATAAATTCAAGACATTTTTTACTTCTAGCTTAGGAATTTATATCCTAGATATGAATTTGGGTATTTTATGTCTTCAGCATGAGATAATGACCTTAAAATTATTAAGAACAGTCTTGAAATTCAACTTCTGAATTATCAGAATTGTAAAAAGTGCTAACTTCTTTTTTTTTCTCCTCTGGGAAGAAATCTCTCTTCCTAGAGAATTTTTTTATTGTTAATTTTTTAAATTATATTTTTTAACCTTTTACTTTTTTTTTCTCTTGCTTGTTCTATTCTTATACCATTTCATTCTACCTTTTTCTCTTCTTTTCTTCCTGACTCTTCTTCCTTTTCGGTCCTGAAAATAGTTTTAAGCCACCCATTCAGACCAGTAAGTGACATGACAGAGTAGTGCCATAAAGCCTAGGTAGATGTTTTTTTCTGTATTTTGTATGAGAGGTTTTTTTACTACTCTAAAAAAAAGTGAATGCACAAGACCTTCTCTCTCCCTTCCTCAAGTAGGAATTCTATAGACTTTCTAAAATGTCTCCTTTCTAAAGCATAGAAAGTATAGATTTGGAGTGAATACAAAGTGGAAAAGTTTCTGAGATCAAAATTCCCCGCCCCCCCCCACCCCAGGCTTTGAGATGTGTTTGCATTTCTGCTGCTTTTGCCTTGTTTTCGTCTTCTTTTTTTTTGTTTGTTTATTTTTGAGACAAGAGAGACCTAGCATGCGTGGGGGAGGGGCAGAGAGAGGGAGACACAGAATCCGAAGCAGGCTCCAGGCTCTGAGCTGTCAGCACAGAGCCTGACAGGGGGCTCGAACTTGTCAACAATGAGATCATGACCTGAGCCCAAGTCGGACGCTCAACTGACTGAGCCACTCAGGTGTCCCCATTGCCTTGTTTTATTCTTAATGATTAATTGATTCAGAGTTGCCTCTCTTTCCTCCTTTTTTTTCATTTTATTTATTTGTTTATTTATAAATGCTTATTTATTTTGAGAGAGAGCACAGCGTGAACAGGGGACGGGGAGAGAGGGAGAGAGAGAATCCCAAGCAAGCTCTGTGCTGTCAGTGCCGAGCCCCATAAGGGGCTCATTCCCACAAACCGTGAGATCATGACCTGAGCTGAAATCAAGAGCTAGATACCTAACCAACTGAGCCACCCAGGCGCCCTACCTATCTTTATGCTAGATTTTATCTTGTGGCTTTTAACACCACCAGTTTAAGGTAGAATTTTGCTAACACATTAAAATACATCTTCCAGTGAACATTTTTGTTTTTTTTTTAGTGTTTGTTTATTTTTGAGAAAGAACACAAGCAAGGGAGGAGCAGAGAGTGACAGAGACAGAATCTGAAGCAGGTTCCAAGGCTCCAAACTGTCAGCACAGAGCCCGACATGGGGCTCAAACTCATGAACGGTGAGATCATGACCTGAGCCAAAGTCGGACACTTAACTGACTGAGCCACCCAAGTACTCCAGTGGACTCTTTTTTAAAGGCCACTGTTAGTAACTGGATTTTTAAAACTGGTTACACCTGAAACAAAAATTATTGTCAGGATTTTAATCTTAGAAGTACAGCTTTTGCTTTGACAAAGCATTTAGCCCAATTTGTGGAAACATTTCTCAAGTTAGTTTTCAGAACTTTCCAGATTATTTCTTAACAACATATATTTACTCCATTAGTATTTTTTCAAACCTTTTTAAAGAACTGAGTATATTCTATTGTCTGTTAAATAAGGGAAAATGAAACATCTTCACCATGACCTTTTCATTAAATACATTATACATATTCAGAAGGAAAATTGAAGACTTGATAATTAGTTTTTAATTATTGAAATTGCTTTCCATTCCAAAATGCATTGGAGCTATTAGTTGGCATTTGCAACAGGATTCTGAATAAAAGTTTTCTTCTTGGTTCTGAAGGTGATCGTTGACTTCTAACTTTGCTTGTTCCATGTTACTTTGTAAAACCCTGAATTCTTGCCTTAGGAAGGTACCTATGTGTGGATAGCCATTTTCTTAACCTAACTTCATTTTCATGGAAGTATTTCATCTGCAGAATCTATGTGATTCTGTATGCTCTATGTGATTCATACATGTTTGATAAAGCAGTATATAGGAAAAGGGAAGGAAAGTAAGGGTCAAGTGCGAATTTGATCTCAGCATTGTCAGTGGTTATAGTAACATCAGCAGTGGATCTCTGGTGATGCCTTTTTGAGAGATTGGAGAAAGTATCTTGGAGAGGTCAATAGTAGTCTAATGCCTTGTTTGTATCACTAGACTCAGAAAAATCTCTTGTCTTATGATGATTTTTGGCCTAATAAATATTCAGAGATGTACAGTAGTACATATAAACCCAAACCTGTTTGAAATTCATGATAATTATTTCTCAACTTATTACTAATATTTTATTTATATAATATTTAAGCAGAGAAAAACTTTATAAATTGAAGATGAGCTATTAGATATTTGATAATGCTATGTTTAAATTGGAATGTAGGGGTTCCTGGGTGGCTCAGTCAGTTAAGTGTCTGACTCTGGCTCAGGTCATGACCTCCCAGTTCATGAGTTTGAGACCCCGTGTTGGGCTCTGTGCTGACAGCTCAGAGCCTGGAGCCTGCTTCAGATTCTGTGTCTCCCTCTCCCTCTGCCCCTCCCCGGCTCACGCTCTGTCTCTGAAAAATAAACATTAAAAAATAAATAATTTGAAATGTAGATAGTGCTTTGGAACTGTAGTGTTCACTGCCACTATATGTGAATCATGGAATTTGAACACTTTTCTTTGTAGGCACATGAGGCAACATTGGAAGCCAGAGCCAGTCCAGAGATGAATGACCGAATACAGCAATTGGAGAGAGAGACTGCCAGGTACAAAGATGAATCTAGCAAGGCCCAGGCAGAAGTTGACCGCCTCTTGGAAATCTTGAAAGAAGTGGAAAATGAGAAGAATGACAAAGATAAGAAGATTGCAGAGTTGGAAAGGTAAGGAAAGGGAAGCTGAATGGTGGACTCTCTCTGTTAGAAAGATTAAAGTATGTTTTTAAAACTGTATACTTTTGGGGGTGTACTTTTTCAGTGTATCTGCCTCTTGGAATTTAGATTCTTGAGTGCTTATGTTATTTTTTTTAATCTGCTTTTTATTATAAGTCATTGTAAATTCATTGCTGCAACATCTAAAAGGTGACATAGGATGGAAATATATTAGGAAGCTCCGGACATCAGCATCATTAATTGGAAAGTGAGGAAGTATTCATTGATTGAGAAATTGAAGTTTTCTACTGGCTAATCAGTAGAGTACAAATAGCTACTTGCTTTTTAATTACTTTATCTACATAGTAAAGTAGATGAATTCTTTAAAATGAGCTGTGCTTATAGATCTAGCTAGACAGCTCTTTTATTTCTCCCTCTAATTAGAGTGTTTTATACTAAAGATTATGTATTTGTTTTTTGACCTCTTCTTTTACAGCATGTATTTAACATAAATTTACACGTACATAGAAGCAGTTCTTCTAGTAGAACTTCATTAACCACCCATGTTCTTTTAAATAGTCAGAGATGACAGTGACAGAGTGAAGTCACTAACCTCTATAGCTTCTTGGAGCTGATTTCTAGGAATATTTTATTTTCATGTTCTTGAAGGTTGGAAAATCTGAGACAACTTTCATAAATTGTATTAAGTTTAAAATTTATGGGTGACTGGTAGACTTAATACTCCCCTAGAATTAATTTTTCTCCTATTCTGTACCCATAGAATTTTGAGTTTCAAGAAACCAAAACAATAAAGTTTAATCCTCACAATTTTTCTTCACTATACTGAAAGTGTTAATAACATAGCTGGTTGCATACTCGCTGGATTCCTTTTACTTTGATATTAATTCTATTTGTATTTCTGGTTCTGGATAAGATGAATGGATAGAATTCTTCAGGTCAGAATTAAGAAATTACTAGAGTCTCAAGATGAGATTATGTGCCTTTTTTCATGTTTGCACTGCACTTTCCCCCCCCAGGACACACACACATTTACATACTCACATGCCTCCCTGCTCTGTGTTGGCCTGAAATCAGCAGCAGTACTGCATAGGTTTTAAAATACAATACTTTTGATGGATTAGTGACTTCCCACTAAATATTTTAGTATTTCAGAAAAGAAATTCCTTGATAAAGTTTCATTTTTCCGTTTGTTTTCTTGTATTAGATATCTACATTGAAATTATTGCTTGTTATTTCAGACAGCTTGCTTGGAGAAACTTTGATTCATTTTTGGATCTAATGCTGATTTTTGGAGATGGGTGTGACTTGAAAGAGAGTAAGAAATAGGATTAAATTTATATTTCAGACTCAAAGCACAACAAATAGCTTTCATTATCCACCGTATTTCTCACATTTTGAGAAACTTGTGAATGATATGTGCTTTCCACAGAATGTAACTTAAAAGGTTGAAAAGCACTACAGTTTTATCCTCTCTCCAGGTAGCACTGTAATTTTGTTTTAGGATTTGACACAAAGTTTCTTGGCTACCAAAAAAAGGAAGTTTTTAAAACTCACTTTTTGTTTCTGGCTTTATAATTTCTTGTTCAGTAATACAGTTTAAGATTTGAATAATAGTCAAAGAGAGTCAGGATTATATTATTTATGCCTTTTGTTCCCATATTTAGTACTGAGGTGCATGTGTGTGGCTGCTGTGTTTCTTACTAACCATTTGCTTCTTGTGTTGCCATTCCACTATTTCCTATATGTGGGTGTCTGTCTCCCCATAATTTATCATTTGAATTTCTTCACCTTTCTTTTGATTTGTCTTATCATGGTCCTAATCCATTGGGATTTTGGTCTCTGTGTGTTTTTTATGTGTGTTCCCTCTTGGCCATGCTGTTTCTCAGAAAGCCAGTCTCCCGCAATTTGTACCTTCCACGCCAGGTTTCTGTCCCTGCACCGTCAGGGGGGTTTGTTTGGGACTTCCTGGGAAAGTGAGTGTTATGTAAGGCTACAGTTCTGTAATAAACTGAATTGCTACTGCTGCTTTTGCTACTGCTGAGGCTTGCTGGGAATTTTGCTTGATCAGAATTAAAGAACAGCCAGTATAGGTCAGTTGAACTGTACCTCTTGGGACATTGTTTTGAGGATAAAGTATGTGTTCTCTGTGGTAAGATTCAGATATTGTTGATTATGATTGTCTTTGTCTTTGTTTCTAGCCCATCTTGTATGTGGTTGTTCCAATGCTGACATGCCCTTTAATTTGTGGCCCCTTAATGTGATGGTAGTTCCACACATAATTCAGGATATAGAATTCATTTCTAAAGGGTGTTCAGCAACCTTCTAAATGCAAAAAAAAAAAAAAAAAAAAAAAAAAAAAAAAAAAAAAAAAAAAAAAAGTGGACTGTTATGATCATTGAACTAGAGAAAATTCTTAGTTTTCTTTGCAAATTTCCTAGTATTTATGTAAAAATCTCCAGTGTTAAAAGGTTTAGATTAAATCATAAAGAATTCCTAGGCCTTTTCTTTGTGACCTAGATAAAAATGAATAGTCCCCTACATTGCTCTTGTAGAACAATAGTAGCTCCTGTAGAGGATGATTCAGTGTTGTACCACTGTTGTTCTGTTGACCTACTGCAGTTTTTAAAAGGATTATGTAAGGCCACCCATATATTTGCACATACAAAATATCTTCCCAATTAAGTGTAAGAGATACTACTTCTAAATTAATATTCTAAACTGTGGTGTATATAAATTGGGAGTTCAACCAGAGGCAGAACTAGTAGGGTATATATATATATCTGTATATCTATATAAACAACTCCTTGCAATAAATCTTTTAAATCTCCTTGTATAAATGATATATAGAGAGATATATAATCTCATTTATATATATCTATATATCGTTTATACAAGGAGATTTAAAAGATTTATTGCAAGGAGTTGTTTTGCATGATTGTGTGGGACTTGGCAAAGGAAGTCTGAAATCTGGATGGCAAGGTGACAGGAAGAGAACATCAGCATCAAGATAGAAATCCCATGGCATGGGCAAAAATTCAGCCAAGTCCACAGGTAGAATTTTTTTTCTCTCTTAGGAAAACCTCAGCCCTGTTTTTAGGAGCCTTCCAAAGGATTCAGTTATGCCTATTCATTATCTGGGATAATCTCCTTTGCTTAAATGGATTAGAAGATTGATTGATTCATTGATTATTATTATTTTTAGAAGATGAATTGTAACTTTCATAGCAACATCTAAATTAGTGTTTGGTTAAGTAACTAAGCACTTTAGGCTAGCCAAGTTGACATTTAAAAAAGTTTTCACCTAGTGATTTTGGATAGCCTTTATAGCTCAATTTAAGGGAGAAAAAAACATAATAGTTAAAAAGCCCTAGAGCTTTACCTGTCCTTATGTAAGTAGATCAATTTAGCTTAGCCTTAGAAACCCTGATTGTAATTGAGAATTTCTTTTCTAAAGTGATTATATTAGAGTTTATATTTAGATTTATAATGGAGAGGCTTATCTTGGCATAATGTTTAAAATATTGAGAGACGAGTAATTGTAGAGTGATAGAACCCTGATTTAATATCTTTTCAGATTTCTGTTTTACTATCTTTTCAGACTTCTGCAATAATTGTTTAAAAATTTTTTTTAATTAAAGAAATTGTTTTTATTGAGGTCTAGTTGGCATATGACATTATATTAATTTCAGGTATACAACATAATGATTCAATATTTGTATAGATTGCAAAATAATCACAATAACTGTGGTTAACATCTGCAAAAAGTCAGAGTTTTTTTTTCATGTAATGAGAACTTTTAGGATCTATTCTCTTAGCAGCTTTCAAATACACCCTACAGTATTGTTAACTATACTCATGTACATGACATCCCCAGAAAGTTTATACCTTTTGACAATCTTCACCCATCCTCAACCCATAACTCTGGCAACCACTTAATCTGTTCTCTGTATCTATGAATTAGTTTTTCTTTGTGTGTGTATATATTTTAATTGAAGTAGAGTTGACATACAATATTATATTAGTTTCAGGTAGACAATGATTTGATGTTTATATATACATTATGAAATGCTCACCACAATAAGTGTAGTTACTGTCTGTCACCAAAGTTATCATAATATTACTGACTGTATTCTCTATGCTGTGATTTTCATCCCCATGACTTAATTCTTTTATGCTGGAAGTTTGTACCTCTTTTTCACTTTTACCTATTTCTCCCATTCCTCCTCCCCCCATCCCTGCCCCTGCTTCTAACAACCACCAGTCTGTTCTCTTATTTATGTGTCTGTTTCTTTTTTTGTTTGTTTTGTTTTTGGTATTTGTTTTGTTTTTTTGTTATGGTATTTGTCTTTTTCTATTTGACTTATTTCACTTAGCATAGTACCATCTAGGTCTATCCAGTTGTCCCAGATGGCAAGATTTCATTCTTTTTTATGAATGAGTGATATTCCATTATAAATATATATACAACATCATATTCATCCATCTATTGATGGACACTTAGGTTGTTCCCATATTGTGGCTACTGTAAATAATGCATCATCAAACATAGGGGTGCATATATCTTTCTGAATTTTTTTTTTTTTTTTTTTTTGCTTTCTTTGGGTGAATACCCAGAAATGGATATCTTACGGTATTTCTATTTTTAATTTTTTTGGGCAACCTTCATACTGTTTTCCTTGGTGGCTGCACCAGTTTACTTTCCCACCAGTAGTGCACTAGGGTTCTCTTTTCTCCATGTCTTCACCAACACTTGTTATATCTTGTCTTTCTTGATACTAGCCATTATGACTGATGGGAGGTTATATCTCACTGTGGTTTTGATTTGCATTTCCTGGACGATTCATGGTATTAAGCATCTTTTGTCAGTTGGCCGTCTTTGTGTCTTCTTTGGAAACATGTCTATTCCATCCTCTGCCCATTTTCTAATCATTTTTTTTTAACGTTTATTTATTTTTGAGAGACAGAGCACAAGCGGGGGAGGGGCAGACAGA